TCTAGCCAAGTCTTGAAAACCCTCAAGGACAGAGTTTTTACAGCCTTTTGGGGCAACCTATTCCAGTACTGCACAATTTGAAACCCCCAAACGTGGTTGTACCTACAGGGAGAGTACAGAAACGGAATCCGAATGGATCAGTGATAGCAGAAGAAGTCAATATAGTCCCAAGTAGCCTTCTCTAGGATTTAAAGATAACATCAGGAAATGTACTTGTACCCTGGCAAAGTTCTAAAAGCAACACGTGAAAATCGGCTTTTATCAATAAATTAAAAGTTCTGTGGGAACAATCCTATGAAATGAGCAACTCTCAGAGCTGTTTCTTTTATAGTTTCCTACAGGGTCTTTGGTTTCCTCCTTGAAAAGGAGGAAAATGTTACTTCTGCTCATGAATGGTATGTGAAAATAAAAGGAACATGGACAGAGTGACCAAGGCATGGAGATGCAAGAAGGTGAAAGAAAGAAACAAACGAACAAAAGATGATTTCTTTCATTTAGAGAAAAACAAGCAAAATATATGATTGGGTGTGTAAAACAAAGGACAGTGTAGAAAATATAAGGCACTTACATTTATCTTGTCTTGCAATACAAAAATAAGGGAACAACAACTGAAATAAGGCAACAAATGTAAAAATTAAACCTTTTTAAATACAAAACATAATTGACCTATGAAAATTGCAGTCTTGAGCTAAAACTCGAAGCTTAGCAAGATACTTTAAAAATGACTACAAATATTTATTTATGCTACTGAGAATAATAATGTAAAACAGCAATAAAAACCCTTGTTTGCCAAGACATAAAGCAGCAGTTTATCTGCCTGTATGTAAATGTATTCATATGGATAGACTGTTCTTTTTAAAACTGCCCATTATAGTATTTCACATCGTTTTCTGAACCATGTGGTCCTCACTATTCTTAGAGTTTCTGATCAGAGTGAATATTGATCCATAAATCCATTTGCTTCTGAAATCCTTCTCCAGACATACATAACCCCTGAATATTCTCATCTTTAGAGTTGGCAGTTGGGATTTCAATCAGTGACACTATGTTTTCCCATCCCCTTAATCCATTCCCAAATACGCATACACACACATATCCCAGTTTTTTAGTACCCTGGGACAGTAGGCAGGGATACCTAGAATTTATTGTGCATATTGTTTAATTTAAAGGGAAATGGGAAAATTATTAAATTATATTTCTGCAAGCATTCTGCAACTGATTGAAGCCAGTCCATACTCCTTTATATATTTCTTTGTTCTATACTTGATTTATTTAAGGTGGTTCATCGAATATTCTTAACCATTTTGTGTAACAAATCTTTGGAGCAATAAGCTCCCAGAAATTACTGTTTTCACATCAAGCCCATTTTGCGGACTGCCGAATAAAGTGTAACATAAAATAGAGGGTCACTAGAAAGTTTGATACATCCTCTCCCTTCCACCTGCCCTTCAAGTCCAAGTCTATGAACGATTTTTTTAGGAGCAATAAACACTACTCCCCGACTGGGTAAAAATAAGTAGACTCTTCCTACAACATACGAGCAGGCTGCTTCTTGACAGCCTTTTAAGTTCTTTTTCAGAGGAGAAGGAAGCACTTATACTGTGAACTTGATAAGGAAGCGCTTGAGCTCTCATTTAAGAGCCTTGCAGGCTAGCCATCTGCAGCCTGGTAAGAAATGCTGCACTCTCTGGAAATGATGATACTCATAAGGCTACACAGTTTTTACAGAAATAAAAATAAAATAATGACTTTGTAGCTGCCCCCAGAAAAGAGATTATATAGTATATATATGGATTTGTTCCCTAATTAATCCCAGGTTTTAGCCAAACATGCTTACACAGTAATAAAAATAAAATAAAATAAAAATCAAAGCCTCTTCCCATCGACTTGAGCGATCAGAGGATGAAGCCTGTAGTAATACACATTTCCGTCCAAGAAAATACAAAGTAAAAACACCCTAGCAGCATATTTCTGTTCTCTTCCCATTGACACTGCTGCTTGAGATAAACTCACTACGTTTGAGAATAAAGTGGCTCATTTTGTTTAAAAGTAAACTTTCGTCACCATTAATCATCTCATGTAGTCTCATTGTAAAGTAACACAAATACAATGTTCAGAGCTTTCAGCACAGATTGTTCACTGGTGTATACTAGAAACTGAAAAAGGTTAAAAATCTACCGACACCTGAGTGACTGTGAATATGGAAATTGATAATGACGGCATCTTCAAACTCACCAGTCTAAACTGAGTACAGGTCACAACAAACGAGAATAGTCAATGGCTTCACATGTAAAGCTCATCAGTTCAATTTCTCATGATATAGTATATGTAGTGTACAAGTTAGCTGGCTCTGTCATCATTACTGGCAAATAGAGTAGGGGATAAGGAAAGAAAACAGAGGCCAAAGCAGCCTTATAAAAAAATGTTTCCTTCAAATTGGCATTGAAAAGCTGGCACTGTGACTGGTATTGCTGATGATACAGGGCTAACAGTCCCATCACATCAGCACTTTCGATATTTAGAGGGAAAATAAAGTATTTTGCCCGTGGTTACTAAAACACACCCCAGCTTGAGTTGCTAATTTTCAGAGTGAAAAGAACTTGTATTGGTATGAATTAGTGATCCATATTAGTAATCATTTTATCCTTGATGTGTTGACTAGGAATCGTATGCATGTCTCTTATTTTCTTATAAAGATATATCTCTTGATCTGCTAAAGATTCAAAGATTTTCCTTATTAGAATCATTTTAAAAAGAAGGTGCTTTTCCACATGTAAATGCTAAAATATTTTTATATTTTCTTTCTTAATTCTCTGACAGGCTTTTCTAATCACCATACAAAGACTTTGTGAAATTTCATGGAAGATTTTCTCTTCTGAATGCTGAAGAGAGATTTTCTCTGTATTCTACAGTGTTGGTGGAGGGAACTTAAACTTTCTGGAGCACCAGGTAATACTGCATATAAAACCCACATCTCCAAGTTCAAGAAGTGGGTAGTTTACAATGCTTTCTGACTTTTTAAAATGCTTCGTGACTTTTTAAAAAATACTTAGATTCTACCCCACTGAAAGTGGTTTTTAGAAGGGACTCATTGTCTACTATAAAAAGTTGTCCATGTAGTACCTCAGTTTCCTTTTTCATTCATTATTCCATTTAAGGATGGATTATTTGGATGGATTATTTCTAATGAAGCAAAATACAGATATTTTGATAACAAAATTCAAAATGGGATCAATGGCATGTCCATAAATTCATGCAAGTTTGGACCTGTTCAAGAGAAACCAGTATGTCTTTGTATGAAAAGAACAGGCTGGTGAGGGATTGTGGTCAAGACACAGGAATTCAATGTAAAAGGGATAATTTACTAATTCTTATCTCACAACTACCTAATATTGGGTTTAACTTCCCTTTCCTCTGCTTCATCTTCACTGTCATCAACCTGCTGAATGATCAAGTCGGTTGACCCATCTTCTACAATCTCCACATCGGATTTGTTGTCTTCCCCATAGTGCCACCTGGAATCCTTATCCCCTTCTTGTGGGAATTCAAGGGGTGTTTCAGCGTCCAAGTCAATGCGAATACTGTCTATGCCAGCTGCAGCCAAGCACCCATTACAGAGTCTGTAACGTCTTGTCCCCTCCTGGACCACTTGTCCCGTTCGCTCAGTCAGGTGGCGTTTACACTTTCTGCAGATAAGCTTACAAGCCTGATGAATCTGGAAAAAATGAAATGAACACATTTGATATCCATAAGGAAGAAGTGCTTTTTTAAGATAACAAAAAGTAGGGCTGGAACAGTGTCAAATAGTAGTGTTAACTCATTCTGAGACAGGCATCCAAATGTTAGAAACAAAGGCTCCGTAATTGCCCACTTAGGCTCTATTACAGGACTTACACAGAGCACAGTACATTTCTGTGCCATCCATTAGCAATGGATTTCATATGAATTATACTTCATATTTACTTAAACAAAACAGATTCATTTTGTATTACCTCTTAAGGTAGGCAGCATATCAATGAGATACACTTACACTGTGTTTAATTATACTAACACAGTTTTAGGTTTACACATTAAACAAGTCATGCAGCTACTAAAAATACATACTGTTCGAAAATGGCTACTTAGGTGATCTAGCCTGCTAAATCTTTTTCCACATGCCTCACAAGGATAAGGGCGCTCTCCTGTGTGACAGCGAAGGTGACGCTTTAGGTCTGCTTTTCTTTTCACCACATGTGTGCAGAATGGACACTTGAACCTCATCCTGGGCAGATCATCTGTTAGAAAATAATTTAAGAAAACCTTTAAAAGTCATAACAAGTCTAGTGATGCGATATTCTAGGAAAAGTTCATTCTAGTTATGAAAAGAGGAGTAAGCTTTTTTGTTTAATATCATCATATAGGTCTTGTCAAATGCAAAGATCCTGCCCTTCCTGTTAATTTCACAGGAATGCAATAAAGGAAATGGAGTGGTCCATTAGCTATATTAAAATGGATTTTAAAAAATGCAAAAAGGCTAATGACTTGTATTTGCAGGATGCAGCTGTGGAGACCCTAGAGTTTGGCATTCTGAAGGGCTAGTTTTAATAAACTAGTACAGCTATCAGGACAAATTTAAACAAATATTTCCATCATTCATAAATATTTAAAAAATAGAGCTAAACTTCCCAAACTACATTTGTGGGCACTACAGATGATTTTTTGTCAATGTGCAGTTTGCCAGTAACATCTGTTTTCTCACTGAGAGACAATTAACAGATGATTGTGCACTTAGAGCATTAAAAGAGCTCTTACCTTCAGCCCAGCTGCCCGTGACACTTAGAATGGAAGGCATGCTCGTGTGCGGCTCGTCTGCGTTCGAAGAATTGGATATTCCAGAAGAGCGGGGTGATTCGTGCCCTTGCTGTGATGCAGCTAAACCCCTTGGTATCACATCAGAGCCTTGAGTGTATTGGTATCCCACCTGCGGAGATTCAACTTCTTCAATCTGAACTTGCTCCTCAGATTGAGTAACGTGGCCACTCGGCTCTGAAGCTCTGTCCTCAAGTTTGCTTGATTTACAGTGAGGAATGTCAGGCGACTGCTGCGGTCCTAGGTGCCTGGATTTTTTTATGGAATCCTGCCTCTGCTCATGCTTGGACAGCGGTGTATTTCTTTGGGAAGTTGGGTAGTAGCTCAAATTGCTCCAAGCGCTTCCACCCATCATACATGTCCCTTGATCTGGATTTAAGTGAGAACGTGGCGGGCTGCTTTCTGCCCTCCAGCCAGCAACGTATAAGCAGGAGCGGTCCACGCCGTTTGAGTTGACGTCCTTGTCTGAAAGGCTGAAGTAGCGATCCTTCTCCTTCTCACTGATGTCCAGCGATGACTTAATGAACGTTTTACACACGCTGATCACATCCGTCATCTGCAGATAGCTAGCTGCCGACATGACCTCAATGACATTCTGGCCAGTAAGAGACAGTTTGCCCGAATACACGAAATCTAGAATGACTGTAAACGTGTCAGGGGAAAACGCCTGGAAAGTAGCTGTTGTTGGCTGACTGGTCTCCTTTGAACTCTGTGAAAGGAGCATTTTGAAATAGCCACTGCTGGCGAACAGCACATTGCGATGGGCTTTGAAGACCTTCCCCTGAACCAGGATACTGCAGTCACAGAATAAGTCCTGCCTGCGCTGCTCATTTAGTTGTTGCAGGAGGTGGAATTGGTGAGAAGAAATCTCCATTCCAGAAAAGGTGAAATGGAGAGTTGCTCTAAAATAAAAACAGAATTAAAGTTTATTGAGTTCAGCATTCTACAACTCAGAGATACAGGACCCAATTTTACAGATACCTTTTAAAAATATTTTTCTGAAAATGTATCTTTTTAAATAAAAATATGCATAACCATACATTGTATTTTGAAAATAAATGACTCCTGAAATGCAAACAGCCCAATAAACCTGTGCACGTTATTTGGCAGATGCGTGTGCGACAGCCGCCACCCGCTCCCGAAGGGGCCGCGCGGCGCGGGGGCCCCCGCAGCCGCCGCAGGACGGGGAGCCCTCGTGAGTGTCTCGCTTCCAGCGCGTGTCCGTTCCCGGCGTTGTCCTTATCGCAGCGCCCCGCTCCGGCCGCGCTCACAGGGAGCGGGAACGGGGAGCGCGGCGCGGCCCGGGCTCCCGGCTTTGGCGCCCG